AGCACATAATAATGCATTATTCTGCATGAAACCTATGCAATACCTAAACTTAACAACTACCTTGCTAACTATTAATAAGCAGCAGATTAGGAGTTTATTGAGTTAATAGTAGATTAATAGTGAGAACTGGTCCCCAAACTAAAGTGTGACCAAATATTTGTTAGCATTATAATAAAGATAATTTTAAGGGGTAAATATCCTGAAAAATCCAAATGGCTCTAATTGATACCCTTTGTAAAACATTGGTTTATATATATATATATATATTAAGGGGGTCTGAATACTTTCCGTACCCACTGTATATATATATATATATATACACACACACACACACACACGTATATATATACACACACACATACATATATATACAGTATGTATTTGAATACATTTTAAAATGTAATTTATTTCTGATGCAAAGCCAAATTTTGTCAAATGATCCTTCCAAAAAAAAACAAAAAAATATTTGAATATGTTGATTTCTTGCTCAGTAAACATTTTTTTATTTTTCTAAATGTTAAAATCAGTGCCATTTCATATTTCATATTTCATATGAACAGCATTTGAAATGGAAATCTTTTGTAACTTTTGAGGAATTTAATGTGGTTTTCCTGAATTAAAGTATTAATTTTCTGTTTCTGTTTTCTTTTGACTGAGAGAAAGAAAGAAATACATCTATAAAACAACACTACAAAAGAAAATGGCTGTATATTTATTCACCTTGAACAACTGTTGTGTACGTCTTATGTGCTTTCTTCCACCCTGTTCCCTAGATATTGGTACTATTGATACATATCGTTCCAAAACTACAAAAAAAGAAGACCGTTCTCACCAAAGTCAAGAGAGATGATGGTGTCACCAGGTGTAGGTGCCAGCTGGGTGAGATCCTCAGGCTCCTCTTTGAGTTTGGTGCTTGGACTGAAGAAACAGTTCAAGTGCTGAGGCTTGAACAGAGACTCAGTCTGGTCCATACAGAAGATCATAGACTTCTCCTCAACATCACTAAGAAAAGAGAGTCTGATAAGTATGACTGATGGCTGTACATACAACACTGCTGAGAGAGAAAGTCACAAGCGTGTGCATCACCATGCCTCAAATGAGCTGTGTGAACATTCATCAGTTTCCTCCTTTGTGTTCCACAGAAAAAAATAACGACATAAATGGTTTGGAACAACATGAGGGTGACTACATTTTTGGATGAACTATCCCTTTAAGTTGTATTTTTTGTCTTTAATTGGATTACAAGCGTCGATGAGCAGAGAACAGAAAGTTCCAGACCGCAGATGCAGTACAAACATCACATCACAAGCTTTGTCACCTTTCATTTTTTTGCGTTACCTCAGCACGTAGTTCACGCACACAATGCACTGGGGCTGGGAGTTGCGACTGTTGTAGATGACGGTACCCTGGGTCTCCACCCACACATAGCCCCCATTCTTAGCCAACATCCTGTACTGACCGCTCACCGCCTGGCCCTTAGTGCACACTAGTGAGGGAAGAAGAGAAAATAACATCTTGAGAACACATGCATTTCCTAAAATTGACTTTTGTGCTGACATTTTGATTTAACGGCTGGTCCAAATGTTTTCTCAGCCATTAGACATGAGGATCTCTAAGAGGGTCTTTGGTAGCTATAACAAACCGGGACAGACAGCCAGACCCATCAACGGAAAGCTAACATAAGCAACAGGACAAACAGAGAGACGCAGACAATGAGGGATTGCTGATCTGAGTTTTGATAGTCTGTCTCCGTGGCACGTTCGCCCTGGACTCGGTCCAGATCTGCCGTGGGAAAGCATTGGTTTCAGGTCAAGCAGTTCACTCCCGGCCTGTGCATGCGCTGCTCTGCAGGACGGCCACGTTGCGGAAAGCCTTGCGACTTTATACAAGCGGTCGGAAAGGAAGTCGCATAGAAAGACGCAGGTTCTAAGAGGAGGCCAGTGTCCCTGTGTCAACGAGCTTGGTCCTTCCAAAGGCCCCGCTAACAATTTAAAACATTTGCTTATATTCCTACTGAGTCGTTGAAAAAAATGTCCATGTTTTCTCATCCTTATGCATGGTTTTTAAAAATAGCGGGAAGATATTTTTATACATCCACTACTGTTCAAAAGTTGGGTCTGCATGATGTTTTTAAAAGACCTCATCTAGGCTACATTCATTTGACAGTAATATTGTGAAATATTTTTACAATTTCAAATAGTTATGTTCTATTTGAATATATTTTAAAATGTAATTTATTTCTGATGCAAAGCTGAATTTTCAGCATCATTACTCCAGTCTTCAGTGTCACATGATCCTTCAGAAACCATTCTAATATGCTGATTTGCTGCTCAAGAAACATTTCTTATTGTTTTTAATGTTGGAAATGTTGTTGTGCTGATTAATATTTTTGTGGAAACCATGCATAAACATTTTGTTCAGGATTCTTTGAGAAACGTAGTTAAAAAGAACAGCATTTATTTGAAATATACATTTTTGTAAAATTATAAATGTCTTTACTGTCACATTTGATCAATTTAATGCATTCTTACTGAATAAAAGTATTTTTAAAATCCACACATTTTGAATGATACTGTACATCCTGAACTGACTTGAGCTAAATAATGACACTATCGTCTTTCAGAGCTGCTGTTCAGCAGATGAATGGTCTCCACAGTTGAGTTTCCATAATTGATTCTACTCTTCTTCCCGTTTACGTCTGTGAAGCTGCGTTGACACAGTCTGTATTGTATAAAGCGCTACAGAAGTAAAAGTGACTTGACATTCTTGTTATTTTAATTTATGAAGCAATATATATGCTACTTATAGAGCAGGTTCATATTGCCAACTAAAGTCTAAGCATTCACCATTAGTAACTGTTTGTTTTGCATAACAGTGCACACATTTATGATTTGCTTGGCACACAGAAAGAGTTTGGTAGGGTGTTTTGCATTGAAACTTTTGTGTTTAGGTTTATTAGGTTCTTATTTAATTAATTCTCTTTGTTTTTCTTGTTTCTTTGCTTTCATATATGACAAAAAAAAAAGGGTTTGCAGTGGAGATGTAACGAGGTGCAAATTTTGTAATAAAACGAATGCAGAACAAAGTTTGAGTGGGGAAACAGAAAATCACTTATACAAAGAGTGCTTCTCAATGCATACGCATGTTCGCTCTGAGAAATATACAATCTATAAGCCTGTGTCTTAAAATATAGAAATGTTTTTTTTTATGGTCGTTTGATAAATGATGGAAGCTCTTAGAAAAGTTCAAGTGATTAGAAAAGAAAGAGACAAATAAGTGGTGAAAGCACAGTCACGAGGCAGCTCCAATCCAGATCAACACTTTTTTTTCTCCTCTACACACTTTGAAAAGACTCTAATTACATGTTAACGTCACGGTGGACAGAAGCCACTCCACATCCAGCATCTGATTAGGGAGCAATCTGGGACACCTGGCGCGCACCGTAGCTGTGTTCTTATCTCTTCTGTCACCCCTAATGGGGTACAAAATGTCCTAATAGCTGCTCCGGTCATCCTTAATAGAACCAATCCAATAAGGCTCTTTTGAATCGTATTCATAACTCAAACATGCATGCGAAATGCAATTTGTCTCAAATAGAATTTGACTCAGGAGGGCTGGCGACCTCAGTAATATAGACACATATATACATATACACATAAATACATATATACATATACACACATACATATATATATATATATATATTGTTGTTTGCTGTGCGTGGACAGTCTGTGTTTGTAGACCTGTGTTTGTAAGCAGCACCTCTGCTTAGCAAGAAAGAGACAGATAAATGAAAGCTAAGGCAATTAGGTGCACGCAGCATGTTGATAAAGTAAAAAAAAAGTGAGAGGAGAGCAACTATGACTGATGTATATATGCTATGTGTTGAAATATAATAATAATATTGAAATATAATAATAAATAATATTATTTAATATTATTATTAATATCATTTAACTGAAGATATTGTTTGCAGTCTTTTTTAAGTATAATCAGTGGATAACAAAGGAAAAACAGCAAACAAGTGCCCAGATATCGTACAAGTTAAAATATAAAGTTTTTTTTGTTTAATAGTTTTTTGTCAATGCAAAATTCCCATTCTATTTATTATGAGTTTATTATTCTAAACTGTGGAAACAGTAATATTACTTTTCTCTTTTTTTTTAAAGAAACATTTAATTTGCAAAAAACTAAATCCAAATCCAACCTCCCCTCCCCATTTTATTATTTATAATAAAATAAAAAAAATACATATAAAAAAAATATATATAAGCACTATTTAATAATGTTTAGATTAATACTGCAAAAGTTAAAAATATATTTTTTTACATTTTTTTTAAAAGAAGTCTCTTATGCTTACCAAGGCTGCATTTATTTGATCAAAATATTACAATTTAAATGAACTGCTTTCCATTTCCATACTGTTTTTTTTATTTGAATATATTTTGAAATGAATTGTATTCCTGTGATCAAAGCTGAATTTACAGCATCATTACTCCAGTCTTCAGAAATCCTTCTAATAGGCTGATTAACTGCTTAAGACACGTTTCATATTTTTTTTACATTTTTTTTAAAAGAAGTCTCTTATGCTTACCAAGGCTGCATTTATTTGATCAAAATATTACAATTTAAATGAACTGCTTTCCATTTCCATACTGTTTTTTTTATTTGAATATATTTTGAAATGAATTGTATTCCTGTGATCAAAGCTGAATTTACAGCATCATTACTCCAGTCTTCAGAAATCCTTCTAATAGGCTGATTAACTGCTTAAGACACGTTTCATATTATTATCGATGTTGAAAACAGTTGATATTTTTGTGAAAACTCTGATACAAACATTTTAAATGTAAATCTTTTGAAAATTATAAATGTCTTTACTGTCACTTTTGATCAATTTAATGCATCCTTGCTGAATAAAAAGTACTAATTTCTAAATTCTAAAATGATCGACAGGCAAAGACCATTTCTGATTGGCTAAGAAAGTGTGCGCCTTTTTTTTTTTTACAATCTGGACACCTATTTCAGTAATATCTGTCATGCGTGTTATTCTGATTAAACTGCTTTTCAACAAAAGGTTTAATTAGACAATGCACAATGAACGGGATTCAGGGTATTATGAGACCACTGGTAAAAGAGGTCAATAGCTTTATGCATTCAGAAAGAAAGCAAGTGTGAATGTGTATGCGTGCGTGCGTGTGTCTGTGTATGTACATATAGACATGTAGTGGTGAAGTAGCAGATATCAGACAGCAGTTGCACACAGAGCGTGTGTTTAAGGCTGACTTGTTCTGTGTTGAAGGGTTGAAACAGTAAACCTCGCCACCTGTGCTGACCTGATCCACCGCTCTTTCTCAGATGCTCGACCCCAGCTCCTGCTTTCTAACCACACTCTCTAATCCTCTTCTCATGGCACCGCTTGATGCACGCAATGGCAAGGCGATGTTAGGAGTGTGTGTTGAGTGTAGCAGTCATATGATTATACATGTGGATGTGATTTTCTTTCCTTAAATATGGTCAATTATTTCCCAATAACACATGCTTGAAGTGTGAAAGAGAGAAAAGGTTTCCGGTCATCTCACACAAGGGTGCAAATGAATGACACGTACGGTTCTGGTGGCTTTTGGTGACGCTGTCGGAGTCCAGAGCATGATAGAACTCATACGCCGACCGGCCCAGAAGATCTTCAGGACTGTAACCCATCAACTCAGTAACTCTGGAAAAAGTGAGAGGCAATTAACATTACAAACACACACACATTAACACACACACAACTGCACAAAAGCTCTCAGCTATTTTCTTTGATCTGCACAAGCTTAGTATTTTTAAGCCAATTTAATAATGATTCATTTCATGTGATTTGTTTGGCTGACATCAAAAAGTGGAGTTTCAGAGGCCTCGTGTTTGCTGAGGGTGAATATTTAGAATTTATGAGCCATAATCTAACATAATATATTTAAAATCTCTTTACTTTAAAGGATAATATATGACTGAACACTGAAAATATGATTTTTCAAAATTGTAAATAAAGATTACTGGAGTAAGATTTCTAAGAAAAAGACTAATTCAAATTTTACACTTCAAACTTTGTTTAATTGAATGTGTTACTTGCAATTTCTATGTAATTTATTAAATGTAAATTATTTTTTTCAGGGTAGACTGAGAAAATTTGGCACTGGCCATTTTAAATTTATAATATTTAGTAATATTATCAATTTAACTAAACAAAATGTAGACCAAATAACCATAATGATGCTATCCTCTTCTTTAGCCGCTTTACTGAAATTTAATTAATTTCATAATTGATTAATTTTACATTATAAAATACACAATAATTGTCGTTAATTGTGACGACTTTAAATATTAAATTAAACATGCTGAAGGGAAAGTGAGCTCTATACTAACAGCTATCGTAACTATCCTATATATATCCAATTAAATCAATATAAAATATAATAAAATTAATTATTTTTAATAAAATAGTTTTGTAGTTTGGACAGAAAAATTGCGTGGTAAACCACACTAAAAGTCATTGCTAATAATAATAATAATAATAAAATAACAACTAAGAAAAAATTGTCTCATTATGTAAAACTAATTTATTTCTACATAACAGTTCTAGTTACTGTGCTAATGTGTTCATGCCCTCTCCACTGTCATTTTGTGTAACGGTTATGTGATTTTGTGTAAAGAATGTGACATGAGTATTATTTAGTTCTGAAAGTGTGTGTTTAGTGCATTGAGTTGATCCTTGTACTGAAGTTACATAACAGCAGACAGCTGCAGATCACGGACTCTGTATGCAGGAGTGTGTGTGTGTGTGTGTGTCTGCAGGCCTCGGTTTATTAAAGAGCCTTCTATTCACCAGTCATTGAACTAACCACATCTGAGCTGATGAGGCACAAACACACACACACAGACACATAGACACACATAGACACACAGACGCAGGTTTGTTTTTGTACATTTTGGGGACATTCCATAAGCGTAATGGTTTTTATACTGTACAAACCGTATTTTCTATTGCCCTACACCTAAACCTACCCCTTACAGGAAACTTTCTGCATTTTTAGATTTTCAAAAAAACTCATTCTGAATGATTTATAAGCCTTTTGAAATATGGGGACACTCAAAATGTCCTCATAAATTACCTTCTCGTTGTAATACTGGTTATACCAATGTCGTTATGCAAATTTGTGACCTCAAAAATCTAAAAAATGCACGCACACACACACACACACACACAGTATAGGGGCTGAGCAAAGTCTGCACCAATCAAAAGGCAGTGTTTGGGTTTTTTTTTTTTTTGGAGAAAAATTTGAAAAACTGAGAAATGAGGAAAAACTAAGCAAACACCATTTTGAAATACACAGAGGTTGTTTAATGAAGGCCTTGGACCCCATCTTATATCTTTCCATAGACACTCTGCTCCAAAAATTAAATAATCATGATTCAGACCAATCTTCTCTGAATCTGTGTGAGCTGACATCACAATAATGACCATAATTACCATTGGATGGGAGCTGGAATACATTAAATGACCCTACTTTTCTCTTATTCTGCAAGGTGACATAAGTCTCTTGTTAATTGTTTTATATTAAATATATTTTACATTCAATGTATATATTATTCAGATACTAATATAGTATGTTATTCTGAATCTCTGGTGTTTGTTAAACATTGTGCTGTAAATTCTCTAACTTCATTAGCAGGGAAGCAGGTTTAGAGCTGTGGTCTGGTGTGGAGATTATTGGGTGGAGACATTAATCACAGAAAACATGACGGTGAACACTTTGAACCGTGTGTGTACTGTGTGGAGAACAGCGAGTTCTTTGTCAGAGGAGACAAGAGGAAATGTTACGGTGTAAACGATGGTTTAATGATGCCACTGGGAGTCACTCATTTCCACTACGCCACTGCTTGTTTGGGCATGGAGTGTCAACCACATTTTATTTACCCAATTAAGTGTCATTTCAAGTAGTGCCCATTCACATATTCACCCTGCTGCTGCTGCTGACGACCTTTATATTTTGACTCATTTGCTTTAAAGACATTTTCTTCCTACTACCAGTGTTGTTATTGTTAACTAAGCCTTTAAGTTTTTTTTTTTTAAATTGAAATAAAGCTGAAATAAAACAAAATATACATAAAACATTTTATTTAAATGTTGTCTTGGCAACTAATTGAAATAAAATAAGTTTAGGTCGAAGTAAACTGACTAAAAATGAAACTAAAATATAAATAAAAAATTATAAATATAAAAATAAGTATTAAATAATAATAATAAAATAATAAAAACGACAAAAGCACATAAATATACTAAAATTTAAATGAAAACTGAAAATATAAATATAAAGGTTAATTCAAAGTATTTATAACTGCTATAACAGCAAAAAAGCTAAATAAAAAAAAAATTAAAAAAAATAAATCATTCTATCTATCTATCTATCTATCTATCTATCTATCTATCTATCTATCTATCTATATCTGTCTGTCTATATCTATCTATCCATCCATCCATTTATCTATCTATCTATCTGTGTCTATATCTATATCTATCTATCTATCTATCTATCTATCTGTCTGTCTGTCTATCTATCTATATCTATATCTATCTATCTATCTATCTATCTATCTATCTATCTATCTATCTATATCTATATCTATATCTATCTATCTGTCTGTCTGTCTATATCTGTCTGTCTATATCTATCTATCCATCCATCCATTTATCTATCTATCTATCTGTGTCTATATCTATATCTATCTATCTATCTATCTATCTATCTGTCTGTCTGTCTATCTATCTATATCTATATCTATCTATCTATCTATCTATCTATCTATCTATCTATCTATCTATCTATCTATCTATCTATCTATCTATCTATCTATCTATCTATCTATCCATCCATCCATCCATCCG